TTCAAGACCTCCCGCTCCAGATCCGTATACTCCTTTCCCTTGCCCAGTAACTGTACTGCGTCGTCAACTTCGTTGGTCTTGGAGAGTCCAAGCACCGTGGTTGTTATCCATGGTTTCCCCTCCGGATCGGCCGTTTGCCCCTTGTGGAGGGCGTACTTCCCGGCCAGAACCGCGACCGAGACGCCGCGGCTCGCACAGAGGGAGCGTACATTCGAGCATGCGGCTCGAAGTTCGGTGGAGGCGTAGTGCCAGTCAGGTGGTCCTACGTGAGAAGTATCATATTGAACAAATTTAGTCAAGTCAACGGTCGAGTTGGGGCTCACCTTGTGGTCTAAAGAGTCCCATAGACAAAGGCGATCTTTGTCAGAACGAGGAAAACAAGGCATCAGCAAGGTTCAGTGAGCTCGAATCATGACATTTAGAGGGGACTCACAGGTTCACGATTGTCTTGATCCCAGCTTCACGGAACTGAGGGGCAAATTGAAGTAAGCGTTGGGAATGGAGGTTCAGTTGGCAATACCTTAAGTGGTTTTCACCAAGAGTACGTCAAGAGTTTAGTGTCCAAACATAATTCTTTTTTTGCGGTTGGCAGATAAATCACTCACGAGAACATAACATCGAGAGGTCGTCCATTCTCGGCTTGGCATCGCTGGGCAATCCTCAACAGCTTCCCGAGAGGGTAGCCCGAAATCGCGACTTTCCTGATCGTTCCTTTGTCCTGTTGTTTGAAATTATTGTTGTGAGACTCCAATTGACACTGGAAAATGCCATCCCAGCTGATATTCGAGTGAAAACTCACTTTGTAGTCAAAGAGAACCTTGAGAGCAGCAACGACCGAATCTTCGTCGTTGAACTCCACGTCGTGTCCCACAATAATGTCGATATAGTCGGTCCCCAGGAGTTTGAGACTGTTCGCGATGCTCTCGTGTATCCGAGGAATACTGTAATCACAATCGTATTTGCTGATGGATCCATGGAAGTGAATTGGGAGACATTCAGCAATTCCACGTCAGGAAAATCACGCCAGAAGCTCCAATACCACGGACTCACTCATACCGTCCGACTTTCGTCGAGATAGTATACTTTTCCCTTGGCCACCTGCGCGCGATTTGGCGCAGAGCTGCTCCCAGGATGCGTTGTGAATCTCCGTACAGGGGAGCAGTATCGAAATGGTTGATGCCGTTCTCTAACGCCCGTTCGCAGACGGCAGCAGCATCGGACTCAGAGAATCCGCCGTACACTCCACCAAAAGTGGCCGCCTGGTTAGGATTCGGGGGTTGCGAATGAGCGAATGGGGATGAAGGGGAGCACGAGCAGACACTAAACTCACGCCGAACGATATTTCGGGAAGTTCAAAGTCTCCTTTCGGTGCCGGCATACGTGTTCAAGTCGAAATGAGATCGTGGTCCTAAATGTTTCGGTGGTCGGCAACTCAAATTTGCCGTCACGGGATCGGTGTCCTCACGGGAGGGGCAGTCTCCATTGGCTGACATTCCTATCTCAGCAATTTCAACTCGGCATGCGCAGCGAACGGGTGTGATTTGAGCACATAAATTCTAGTGAAACCTCTAACTAAGCGGAAAGAACTGCAAACATAACAACGCAGACAGACAGAAACAAACAGATCAGCGAGAACATATTAATTCGTCATAGTGTGGACGCCCTCTTCACCAGACCAGTCCATATCTGACTCAGTCGACTGGACTTGCTCCTCTTCTTTTTTGACGCTGGACCCGATCCTCCTAGCGGCCTCTCCAAACCTAAGCCGTGTCCCAGCGCCCTCACTTCCATATGCTCCTCCGAAATAGCGGTACTTGAAAGTCTTCGCCCCATGGCAAGCCACGATGCGGAGTGCATTCGCCGCTGTGACGTCGCAGGGCGGCTCTTTTGCTCGACGATGACGCAAATGGCATCAAGGACTGCGGAGGGAAGAAAGGGTCGGCATAGCAAACCTCCTTCAAGGTAGAGATCCGCATGCATGATTCCAGCGGAGGCAAGACTGTCGATAGACCCCCTCGTGGTCTCACAAGTCCACAAACCACACCACCCGTTCAAATCCATCGCAACTCCATCATCAACATCGAAAGCAATACTGGCAATCACAGATCTTAGAAACGTTGATTGGACTTTCCTGATGTCGTGAACAATACTCTCCAACGTTTGCTCCTCTCGACGTCCTGAACCAACACCGCTGGAAAGGCACCACCCAAAAGACGACTCCATGAAAAGGCGCCGCGTTGTGGGAACGTTTAAACCACAATTAAGTAGGTTGAGTAGAACCTCCGACACTCTTTGCTGGGCACCATCGCGCCCCGCGAAAGCAAAAATCAATGACGTGCACAAAATTTCATGTGGGTCCAGTTCCACCGCCCAGAATTGATGCAAGTGGTTCACAAAGGGCAAAAATCGGTCGCGAACAATAGGCCAGAATCCCGCATGCGTAAGACGGGAGCAACGGAAGAGTCTCAGCAAGAGATCCGAAAATGACCTGTGACTGTACGCAGGAGCCTGCAGGTTCTTGGGTGTCATCCCATTCTGGAGTAGTACACGTGCGATGCGATTCTTGCGAACATGTCGGGGGGGGGTCAGGGTGGCGGAATAAAAGAGCAAAACCCTGATGTCGAAGCACGTTCACATTTGAGCAAGATAAGACGATGACAGTCACAACAAAGAATTGAATCTCACCGCTGATATTGTCCTGCGAGTTTTTGCATTGGTAGAGCACATCCATCAACCAAGAACTCCAGTCTGTCACGAAGTCGGCGGGTCTCGTCTAAATTGGTGACTGGTTTCGACGCGGAGAGTTTAGTCGGCAAACTTGCCCATTACGCAATTTCAAATTCAATACCCACCATCGACTTGTTCGAGTTCACGTGCCAGCCCAACTGCGTCATCGATGTCGTCAGTACCCCACCAAGGCTTTTGTGCTTCTGTTCCATCCCCGTAAACGGCTCTCCCGTAATCCTCTACCAAAAGCGTATATATTCGATGTGCCTCCTCAGCACTTGCATACGGAACAAACCACCGGGGCTCTGGGGTGAATACTCGCCGGGGCACATCTGTTCTGCCCCGATAAAGCATGGCCATGTCATCGCGTGAAGCTGGAAGATGCCGCGACTGAAACATCTTCTGAAGGAGGTGTCTGGGAATTGCAGGTTTGGAAGGATCGAAGGACGCCCGACGTTCGAGGGTCAGAGTAATGAAGACTTGGGCGAGTGTGAGGTTGAAGCGAGGGTAATACCGAATACAGTGCTCCAGCGCCTAGGTCAAGTAGCAAACACATTGGTGAAGCAATTACCCGAGCCTATAAACGTGCAACTCACCCCCGTGACGCCCCAAATCAGGGTGGCACAACGCGCAAGAACAACAGTTCCGTATGTCACGGAATGAAACTTCCAGTTCACGGTTGAAAGCGACTTGAACATTTTCAGCGCCTCTCCTGTTCCGTCGGCGCGAGCAAGGCGAACAGAGTGAATCATGATCCTTCCAAGCAACTCGACGGGACAACGCGCCAATAATTGAAGCCCTCGGGTTCGATGCGCGCGGGACGACGTCGTCAGAATGTCAATATCGCTCCGCTTTCGACCATGGTGGCTTTGGAGACCGAGTTTCCCGGTCCACCCAAGAAGCTGGGGCTGCCCGTGATGGAGGTGCTGTGTCACCAGCATTTGAGCTCCCTCTATACGATCGAATCCCGTATAGACAGTTTTGAGCAACGACGTGTTGGGTGAAGAAACCGTCTCGGCACTTTTTACGTGGATATGTGTACACGTTGGTGAACTCGAACTCTTCTTGACCCTCGGATGGCCGCAGGCGGGAAAGGGTCCATTCCAACACAAGTTTATCGGGGGAATATCAAGCCCCATCTACGACAAAGCTCGTGTTAATGTACTCGGGCTGTGAAGTTATTCGCAATGTTGCAAAAGCTGCTAGGCTCCCATTCAATAACCCACCAAGAGAAAAGAGACTGAACCTCAAGGGTCCACCTTGACATATGGGGTCCAGCACGTGTTGAAGGACTTCACAGAGAAAGATATATTCTGCTCCTAATTAATGAAGGAACTTCAACCATTGATATTGAGACTTTAGAGCAAAGTCAGATGCTGAACCCAAAATTAAAGAGTACACATTGAGAATGGAAAAACAGTATCCTGGCTTTATATTGAAGAAACTATGAAGTGACAATGCAAAAGATATTTTGAAGTCTAATTCCATGCAAGCATGGATGAAAGCAAATGGTATTGAAGATGAAGAGAGTCCACCCCACACACCTGAGCTTAATAGCAAAGCTGAGAGAGCCATCAGGACTATTATGGAGCCAACCAGAGCAATTATAAATCAGTCCAATCTACCACAATCTTACTGGTCAGAAATTGCAAAGGGTCTTGTGCATGTGAAGAATCTTCTCCCATCCCAAGCAGTAAATGGTGCTATTCCATTTGAGCTACTGACTAAGAAGACTGCAGATCTATCACATCTCAGAGTGCTAGGCTGTGATGCCTACGTTCTAAATAAGGTGAACAGGTGGTACCTCAATAATGGCGAGGCACGAGTCAGTGAAGCTTTTAGCCATTCTGACTCGACGAATTTTGCTCGGCCCTCGTTGCCTTCTTGCTTGACTTGGGCTTTCATCCAATTAGGAAGTTGTGTACATACAGCATAATTCAGTCTTCCACTGTATGATCCATCACGTTGCCCCAAATGAGAGGTAGGCCAAACGTTCATTTGGTGTGATGTGCGCCGTTCTTGGGAGTGCACGAGGAACAGAGTTCCATGTATGGCACCAGACAATGGCAGGTATCAATGCGACTAGTCTAAACAATTCCTTATTCACCACCACTCTCCTCAAATGGAAAATGTGCCAAGTGCATTCTGATTGAGAGCTCATCCTGGAGAGCTTGGTGAAACCCTTAAGGTCTTTTTTCAACAGCAATGCTAGGGTACATTCTTAAATAGCTGTTGATAATATAATTAAAACTTATCGACATGTCCAACAAGAAGCGTGGGTAGTGTAGTGGTATCATTAGCCCCTGCCACGGGTTAGACCCGGGTTCAATTCCCGGCCCACGCATTACTTTTGAACCTTTTTTCTAAGTCCTCTTTCATCAATCCTGCGTTCTGGGGCGTTTGGGGGGGTTTCTGGTCATTTTCCGAAGAATGGGTAAAGTTGGGGGATGAGATCCCCTCTCCACCATGTGCCGCTGAACTGGGCCCAGTGACTTTTCCAATTTTTTCCAAACGTACTACCCTAACTTCATCAGTGTGTTTATTATAGAGCGGATCTCATCTGTCCAAAGCTACTACAGTAGTGCGGTAAAACTAGGTCAAGCCAAAGACTAATGACATGAAGGATTTATTTATAGTTAACAAGTAACTAGGGGAGTTGATCATCTCCTAGGTAGATAGCGCTACGCTGTATGGTACCTCCCCGCAAGCGGGGGGGTGATCATGTAGCCTCGTTTGGGAATTTTGACTATTGCTTTGATAAACCCCTCTCTCTCTCGTGGACTCTTCTCCCCCACTTGCGGCGCCCTCTCACTCTCTTGTGCCTGCAGCTTCTCTTCCCATCCTTGATGGGTGGGCTTCTCAAGACGTGACACTTGCCTGCGACACCCATCGTGACATGGCACATCTCTAGCTCTTCCACCTAGCTCGCGGCTCCTCTGTTGTCCCGGCACCTCAGGCTTTCCCTCTTTCTCTCCAGCACTTTCTCCTCCCATCTTTCCCATCAGCGACGTCTTCCCCGCCGGCCAAGCTCCGCGTCTCCTCCACCCCACATCTCGCACTTTTGGATGCTCCCTCTGACTCTTCTCCCCCTACGTCACGTCTAGCCACTCTACTTTCTGCTGGTCAGTTGAAGCGAGGTCCTCTGCTCTTGTACTCGGATCTTGGATCAGTTGAGGTGAATGGCGACATCTCTCTTGTCTCTAGACTCCCCAATTCCACCAGCAGCAGCGCACAAGCGGACACTTCTGTGACTCTCCTTGGGTCTCTGTCGTTGTTGGAATCATCTTTTACTACCTCTCGTCACTGTGGAACACAGCACACTTCTCCCACGGTTAACAGGTCGACGTCCCTGGCCACGGGCTCTTCTTCACCACTGGCACCATTTCCCTGCACACCAATTACTTTGGCACACTTCTCTTGGACTCCCTCACGCTTCCCCCCGGATGTCTCTCACCCTCTGATCCAGCTGGCACTACCCCTCCCCGACGCACACCTCCTGCGACCCGCCGCGTGTCTTAATTTGCTCTTACTGCATGCCCTCCACGTTCCGCACCGCCTCCAACTCCTCTGATTTTCCAGGTCTCTTCCATTTCGTGCGCTTCTGACGTTTCCTCCCTTATCACGGTCTTCTCAACTCCGTAACGTTGCCGTCATCCCGAGGCCACTCGACGCTTTCTACGCGTGTGCAAACACAAGTGCTCCTATCAATCTCTTGGACGTTCAGCGACTTCCTTGTGGCTCCACAATCTCTCCGATCGACGCCTCTGCTCAGCCTCGTTTCAAGGACATGGCGGCAAGCAATTGCTTCCTCTCAACCCCGCGTTCTTTGTTTCACTCTACATGGTTCTTCCTCCCCAAACCTTCGACACACGTGTTTTTGTTGGACGAAACATGGTTCAACTAAAGGGCGCCTGGGTGGGGTGGGGGAAACTCTCACCTTTTTTCTTGCCTTTTTTGGCTCGATAAATGTGTCCTGGGTGAAGTGGAGCTCAATTTTTGGATTGTTGCACCTTCCGGGAGTGTTGTGGGTGTTTCAGAAATGTTGTTAGACTAGCCCTTCTCACCTGGTTGCCCTCTTTTCTCCTTTCTTTTGACGGCCGAAAGACGAGAGCCATTGTTTTCTGCGAACACAAACCATACATCCTTTTACTTGAATTTGTTTGTGCGTGCTGAACAATCATTATCGCGCAACGGTTCCAGAATAGATGTCATCAATTCCAATGACGACAATGCAGGCACCCCCAAACAATACAAAAACCGACACTGTCCATAAAAGGGCTTCCCAAACAACTACCGACCTCTCTCTGCTACCCCTTTTTTACTCTCTGCTCCGATTATTTCGTCGTTGAACTGGAGGATATGATGTGAGTATTGCTACCCCTAAGATGGTTGCTTCCAGACTCCAGTGGTGGTTCACTATCTACTGGAATGAAGCCACTTTGGGGCATGCTTCACTGGTGTTGTGCGAAAAATCGCTCCCAGGGATCAGACGCAACTCTTGCTCATCGTGAATCCAAGTGTGATTGGACTGCATCGCGTGGGACACGTTGGTGAAAGAAAGACGGTCAGGCTGAAGAAGTAAAACACTTCGTTGGGGCTCTTTTAGATGGAAATACAAAATATTTTATTTCTGAACAGGCAGCCGGGGTTTCCCATTACACCAAAGGATGCCCCCCTTCATCATCCTTGAGAAATTATTACGTACACCATGCCGGCGGACAACTGGGACCGGGCATATATGTACGGACGATAAGGAAATTCGGTTTCGGGGGTCCCGAGTACATTTCAGGTCTGCAGAGGAAGCAACTTCGAAAACTTTGCCCCCTTTTCCATTAACAATGACATTATACCCTCCAAACTACTAGTTTGTTCTTGCCAGCCTTATCCCGCCTTCAGTAAAGATACGCGATCCGGCAGCAAACCCATCCTTCATGCAATACAAGTATGCTTCGGCAACATCCTCCGGCGTCGCCAACCGGCCCGTTGTCGTCTCGTTCTCTCGTAGACCTTGCGCGCTGCCTCGTCGACGAAGGTAAGGAACAGGTCGGTCTTGACGGGGCCTGGAATGATCAAGTTCACTCGAAGAGGGGCCAATTCGATCGTGAGCTGGTTGACGAGACCTTCCTGCGCCATGCCCATGATAGGACCCATGAACAAACTCTTGGTCGGCTTGTAAGACAAGATCCCAGTTGTCAAGGTGAGGCTGTGGTGTCAGGGTCGAGGGAGAGCCACTTTCCCGGTTCGGAGGCGAGCAGCTTCGCGAGAGTGATGCCCAAAGAAACGCACAACCTGTGGCACGACCATGTCCTCAGGCGTGAGTTGGGAGAGGGGGACGGGGTTGAAGGCGTCACCGGACGTGTACGCGATGTGGTCGAGAGGGCCCCGAGAGAGGATACCGCGGTATCGAGGAGCGTGCAAAGGTTGGGTTCTTGGCTTGCGTGCTAGGAGAGGTCGCATGCTGAACCATCAATGTTTGCGGCGGGGACTTCAGGATACGTTGATCGGAGCCTCTGGACGGCTGCCTCGACCTGGAATTGGGAGTTTCGTGAACGTAGTGCGACTCGGAGATTTGGAATATGGTACGCACCTTGGTCAAGCTGGAGGATGCGATGACCACACTTGCGCCGTAAGAGAGTGCACCACTCGCGACGGCAAGTCCAATCCCGGAGGTCCCTCCGATGACGAGAACACGTTTTCCTGCTAGCTTTGAGGGAAAGCGAGGGAATGTGGAAGCGTTCGATGTGGATGGCATTGAGGTATGAAAGGTCACGCAATTTCGTCTGGCTGTAAGAAGCCCCCACATCACAATCGAGTGCCTTTTCAGACAGCACAGCATCCTCGAAAACTGGTGTGACTTGTCGAGCTGTCTAAGGGACGCACAGGTGCTTTCATGTGGGATAGCAATCTCTTTCTTTTCCTCCTTGTTTGTGCAGCTGACAAAGAGGCCGCATAACGGAATTTTTGTCACACGACCACTTGATAGCAGCCCTGTTTGCTCCCGACGAAACAAAAGAGCCTTCGTTGCCTTCGTTCCCATGAACACCTTCTGTCCCCCATTATTCGTCCGCGGGTTTGGCTTCGCCATTCTCACGGTTTCATGGGCTCAAGATTCGCATAACTGGAGAAGTCATTACTCTCCTTGATTTCACAAAAGCCCACTCCTGCTTATTATCATTCCTGACATGTGCACGGCGACGCCAGGAAAATCAGTGAATGAGAAATTTTCCTGAAGTTCAAGTGCTAAATTGCGTTTCTAGCACCAGCTTGCACGGCGTCCTCGAAAAGGTTGCACTGTTTTATGCCGCGATTCGGGTGTGATGAGTGGAGGAAAGAGTGTTGGAACGGAGTTGAGTTGCGTTTCTCCTGGAGGACCAGGCGAGATCGCGCGCGATATCGTCCTCTACCATTTCTTTGGACTTTCGGAATTTGATGGGCCCTGTTCTTGTTTGGCGTCGTCGATCGCAATGGAGAAACGTGGAGGGATTGCCATAAGAATCAGCTCATCGGTGTACCCGATGTCTCCAACTGTTTCCGAATCGGGCCCCCTCTCCGATGCGATTTTTCTCCGCGCTGTAGTTTTCGATTTGACCTTGTCATACTCGAAACGAAGAAGTTGGAAATGCAGCTCAATCTCCATTGTCGAGATCGCCGCATGAGGGCTGTCGCATAAACATTTACGAGACGAATCTTGGTGAGCAAGGAATCTCGACAACGGAGTGAAATTTTGCAGATGTTGCAACGAGAAACTCTGGGGTGACACTATCGCTTGTACGCGCCGCCTTCATAATCGTTGCACCAGTTGCCCGAGTAACGCTATTAAGGGTTTTATGATTCTCGCATTTTCTGCATGAAGAAAAGCTCATGGTGCACTGCTGGTGCAACAGAAACTCATCGATCGTGCACTTGGGGGCGACATGTCCTCCGATCTACGCTACGTGCTTCTAACCTTTCGACAAACCAGCTTGAAGATATTCGTAAACAAATTATTACCTGGCATTTATCGACCCGTAAACACTTCTTCACCCTAAAGGGTTCCGAATTGAGATTAATTTTCCATTCCTGTGCGTTCTGGGGGGTGTCCGGCGGGGTTTCCTGAGTGTCGGTGCTTGTTTGGGTGTTTTTGTGGAGTGCATCCTTCATGCAGTGCTGGTGTTCGCGCCCTTTGACAGCACCCCCACACCACAAACGAGATAAACGTACACGTCACAACATTGCACAAACGCTTTATATTTTGGCTTTTGCCCTTTTCAGCACGCCGCTCATTGCATCTTCTAACGACTTTACCCCTTGCAACGATTCCCCATCCATTTTCCTTCGGGTTCCGTCAGAGTTCACCAGATCTCC